TATGTAATTTCTGATACATAAGAAGTGTTCTAAATTCTTTCTCCTGTGTCACTGAAGTATCAAACGTAGATCAGACACAGCCTCTGAACCCTGCATAACATACATGTACCAAGTGTGCATGTTTAGCTAAAGAATCACTTAGGCTACTGTAGAGTGAAAAAGGGCCTAAATCCTTTACACAATCATTAATTCAACCATAAAATTTAGGTAAGAATCAGGATATCGAGCAAATACACATCAAATCTGCAAGTTTGGTTTGGATATCCCTTAAAGATATCTTGAATTTGATGGACAGACAGATGGAGAGACACATTGATTTCTGTAATTGATTATAGTAGCTGATAAATTACTACATCTAAAAATCATGATTCATTGTGTTACACAATAAAATTTAATGGCATTAAAAAAAAGTTAGTAACTTTTCAAAATAAACTTTATCTTAAATTTCATGATAATATCTAGTACTGTTTTGTAATGGGAAAAGTTCAAATAAATGATGGATTAGAAAGATAATTATTGACCATTTATACAAATAATGTGATGCAGTAATGCAAATACGCTGACATGAATGTGAACATAAAATTTACTTCCCTTCCACTCCATCCCCTTGAAATCCCTTTCAAGTTTGTCTCTTGCATGAAAAAAAGAAGGTATACTTTGTGGCATTTTATTCAAATTTGATCTTTTCCCAACAACCAAATTATTATTCAATGAAAAAAAGAAAAAGAAACTGAAATTCAATTTCAGAAACATTATAAACCTACTTTATGCACAAGTGTCATACATTATGAAGTGTAGTGTGTGAACTGTCAAAGAGTATTTGATTCAAATTAACAATTATTACTATAACTTTCTCATCAAGAACATGTCTATATCAATTTTGTAAAGCTAATCAAAAAATATTAAGTAGGTTTACAGTGTTTCAAATCAAGAAATGAAATTCTGGACAGTACTTGTACTTGCCATTCTTGGAATCTGATAAATATCAAAATCTGTGTATACATGCAGCTCTAACTATTTAAATGTTCTCTGTGTTGTTCTTACCATTACAGTGCAGTGAGCAATGAAAGGATTAGCCTGATGGATACAAGTTCACAGAAATCATCAAATAAGTTTAGTATGATAAAATCTACTTACAGAAGATTGCACATAAAAACTCCAGCATAGTTTGAATATATTTAATGTCTAAATTGTTCTTTTTTCACAAATGGGATCATTGGGGAAAAAGTTCTTAAACTTAGTATGCCCTTTTCCTGTATGTTAAATATAGCAAAAATTTCTTTATCTTTGAGTCACAGTTTAAATATGAAATAATATTAAGGAACTCGATAATCAGTGGATAATCAGGTGAATTTAGTAAGAATCACTAAAATAAAAAATTCGTAAAGCTGTATTAATACATTTCATTTATAAATACAGATGGAATTTCAAACAATTTTCATTTAATATGTATATTAATTTCAATATTTCAACTCCTTGGAAAAATACATGTAGGTAGTTTTTTCTCTAAGCCCCCATCAAGTTCAAGGTAATGAGGTTTTACTTTATTTGAGAATTTCAATGCCATCAAAATCAACCTTGCTTAGATGGTCTAGCCCACTGTACACATACTGCTAGGAGATAAGGTCTGCAGGTCTAGAATTCAACCCTGGGAAATATCCTCAATCTATATAATTTAATTCTGGTTGTACTGCACTTATTTGATCAGCTGAAAAAATTACTATATAACCTGTGTTGTCTACTTCACAATATGACTGATGTCAAGAACATATCAATTCGCTTGATGTTACATTTACATTTTGTACAATTTGAAGTCGTTACTGAGGGGAAATTGTTTTCTTTTTTACATTACACGTTAGAAAATTAAGTTATAAGGAATAAATTTAATAGCTATATCCAAGTTATACTTGATAACCTAGGTTGGAACAGTTCACTCTTTTTTATAAACTGTTTCACAGTTTTTAAAGTGTAAACTGTCCCAAATTAGGTTATACAGTATAACTTTGGTAGCTGTTAAATTCATTTCATAAATATTCTGTCTGTAAAATTTTCCTTTAATATTTTAATTAAAGTGTGAAGTACCTCTTTAGTTGGACTGGAGATGAGTTGTGAGAGGAAGTATCTCTCTGCTGGGGAGATGGCTGGAATTGCCCAGTGTAAGTCAAACTGTCCTGCTTCTTGGTTTTCAGTAGGAGGGTTCTGAGTATAGTAATAACAACATAAAATCTTTATCTAAAAATATATTTATGTGTACAATGTAATACACATTTACCATGAATCTATATATAAATACTGCTTCACAACCTGCTCAGAGATGCACTGTATATGAAATTGGAATTTTTCACCAATAAATAGATCAAAATACAATGCAGTTACCATGGCAAGATTTTCAAAGAAAGAAAAAAATAATGCTTACTAAAAGATGAACAAAGACAGTGGCAAATGGATTAGCAGCTATGGGATCTGTACGGTACATCTCATACAGAAGAAAGATGGCAGCCAACTTCTGTGTAGGGTGTGGCAGTAAATCTCGGTTCTGGAGCAGCAATACCTGGAGAAATCAAGGAATTATTGCAACAGTTATCTTTAAACACTTTTATATATATTGATTTTAAATTGCATAAATTCATAAAAATTAATTTTAATTACTTATTCTTTTAACATTTGAACAAACTAGAACAGATATACATGTACAAGTAAAATAAAATAAAAAGAACTATTTAAAGTCAGCTTTGCTTCATTGTGATTAATAATGCCCTAATACAGGATACATAAATAATTACATATAGATGATAATAAACTACTCCAAACTACTTAGGCAATATATAATTGCATTAATCAAGTTAATAAAGAATACAACATACATATGTTGTGCTGATTGACATTGCAGTGCTGAGTGACAATAAAAGAGGAAATCCCATTGTTTATACTTACAATTGAAGATCCCACTTTGAAGTGATCTTGTTTGGTAAAGTAGTGGTGAAAACCAGTGGCTAAGTTTTCAAATGACTGTGTCTGGGTGGTGTCCTCAGAGAGGACGCTGTAAATGACAAGATGTGATGGTTTAATGTACATGGTTAGGTGTACGTTACGATGCTAGTCATGCTACTGTTGTCTCCATCTAGTGTTTGGCTAATATCCCAGTCTTATTACATATTTTTATGTATTTCTCAATAGAATGTATAGAGATGTTCTGGGCATTTACAGAGCAATACTAGCCTGCACTGTAAATGCCCGGGGACTACTTTTTTGTTTGTGATGTCAAAATATATTTTCCCATCTTTCCATTCCTAATAACATGTACATTTGATGTCACAAATATCCTAAAACTGTCAGCTACTTATGATGTAAGGATGTTAATAACCAGAAATTGAAAAACTGAAGAACATCTGCAAGTGCTTTACGGTAGAAAGAGAACAGCTAGGGTGAGAAATCTGGAGGGGAGCACTGTACTATGTTGCTGCCAGTTACTGTTGTAAGTGGTATATTTGTTGAATGGCCTCATGCATCCATCGCGATGTAACAGGAATTGGGTGCATTAGTTCGGTCATCCACAGGCTTAGCGGGAGGTCACAGGTTCGAATCCCAGTCTGTCTGAATTTTTCCCTGCTTATAATATTTAGTGTTCAACAACCAAACCCCATAGTGGTTTAATAGAGTCTCTGTGAGGTTTTCAGGATGGAAAACCTCAAGAAAAAAGAGGGAAGAATGTAAAGGCGATAGGGTACATCAGTCCGGTAGCTCAGTGGTAGAGCACCTGCATGGTTGGAGGAAATCCTGTGTTCGAGTCACAATATGGCCGACATTTTACCCGCCTGTTATAGGGCATGGAGAGCATAAGAAGAAAAAATTGGATAATGATGTGTTTCAAGCCATGGTACTATTGTATGGTGTGTCTATAGATCAATTTTCATATTTTTGGCAAGGAAATCCATTTTACTTTCGCATGGCACATCTATAGATGGATCATCAGACTTTGGCAAGACCATGGGACTTTGGTATCATTATATGTATGTATATTTATATATATGTACATGTATATATTGTTGTTGTTTTCTTGCTTTGCATGCCTTGCAAGTGGAGGGCTGCAAATTTTAACTAGTACTTTGCACTCATGGCAAGTTAAGCAGTGATGGATCTTCTTGTGCCAACAACTACTTCAACACAGATCTTAGTTAATATAGGATTAATTTCTATATTCTGCAGAGGGATTCAAATTTGTGACATATGGATCAGACTTCTTACTTTACCTTCACAACTTGCTCTAATGACAGGAGTCAACAATTTTATCAATAAAGTGAAAATAAATGAGAAACTATATAAATCCTACCAGTGATCTTCGCAAAGTATTTACGCCTTCCTTATCTGTTTTCACTTCATTGATAAAATTCCAACTTTTGTGCTCTAATTACTACTCCATGCTGATGCAGGACTAAATAAATAATACATGTATATATATGTGCAAAGATGCAAAGTACTTGGTTGCTTTTGCATGGTTGTAAAATAATAAAATTCAACACCACATGTACTTGGGTCTTGGTAAATATGTATGTACCTTATTGATATGTATAAAAGTACTTTTTGTACATGTCAATAAGGTACATACATAATCATAAACCAAGACCTAAGTACCTGTGTTCAACACATATCGATGCTAATAGGGAGTTATTTCCCTTTGACAATGACTGAAATTTTCTTCTCTTTTTATTGTGTGTTACCGTATATTTACCGATATAACTTTGTTAAGAAAAATAGAGGGTATTTCAGTTTTACCATGGCACAATTTATGCGAATTAGAATTTCATATAAATAGAAATACAAGAATATTTACCTGAGCAAAGATGCAAGTTCTTTCACGGAGAGCGCCATCTTGAAATTCAGAGACAAATCTCGCGTGATTTGATGATCATTGTTTTCATTCAGTGCCGTAACAAAGTATTGTGCATATTAAAATCAACTTTTTCTGAAAAGTTTGAATACCTTAAAAGAAATTCATTAAGCAATTCCCTATAGATAGGCTAAAATAGGCGATTGATTATTGATCACGTGACCAATAAACGTTATTTGGCAGTACAGACGATTTTGTTGACATTAGTTATTTGCAGGGTTCCTGATTGAAATAAAAATATGGCTTTGATTTCGGGTATGAGTGATGTACGGGTTATAATCACAGTAGTTGCCATAGGAGGATGCTTACTGACTCTCTACCCAAAGGTCTTCGCCCCAATAGTCATGAACTTGTTTGGAGGAAGAACAAAAGACAGAGGAGTCCATAACAATCAGCCAAAAAGTAATTTAATCCAGAAGATTTTAGCTTCGTTAAATTCCAAACATTATGTGAAAAATATTATTGTATTATTGAGCATTATGTAATTTTAGGATCAAGTTATGCTGCTCGACATGTAAGTGATGAAACCTCGGATGATGATGTTTTTGTTGATGATAATTTAAACCATTGCATTTATTGTTTTGATATTCAGTGCCCCCAAGAGCTCATCATCCACGTGGCCCTGGAGGAGGAAATGAAGGAAATCCTCGTCCGACAGGGATGCCACCTAATATGGATGCAGAAATTGAAAGACATATGAGGGTATTTTAATTCATTCAAAGCAATTATCATCGATATATATATCTGGGATTTTGATTAATATGTATTTACAGATACTTTGATTTAGGCTCTATATCCTTGCTCATTCCAGTCAGATGATATCCATAAGATATATTTATTATAAACTGCAAGACATACATGGTCCTGTCATATGCCATGACACTCTGAACCATGGCAACAGCTATATACATGCAGGTGTTTAACGCACTGAATATTATACAGACCATAATGAATAAGATTCAACATTGTTTCTTTGGGTTTGATGTTATATTAACAAAGAATCCACATATAAATATTGCAGATAAACTTTTTCTTGCACTGGCTATTATCGTTATATTTCAGCAGGGACCACACCCTGGAATGAGACATGCAGCAGAAATGAACAAACAACAGTCGAAGACTTCTAGTGGTCGGGGAGGAATGATGGGAATGGTACTTCCTGTTTATGCTGTGGGCATCATTGGTTACCTGATATATACACTGGTCAAAGTAAGGAATTTACACAGTCATAGTTATGTCCTAGTAATATTTATCAGGGTTCTCCATCATTTGAAATTTTACTGTGTTGCAGACTTTACGTGAACCACTAATATTCGCGGCATTTTTCGCATTCAAATTCGCAACTGCAACTGAACCACTATTCATTATAGTTACAAAAGCATATACAAACAATTTTTTTTTTACTCACTTATTCGTTACACAAATGTTATGGTCGTGCATATTGATTAAAAAAATTAATTAATGGATATTTAAAACAATTAGAATGTATCCATATAATACTGTACGTACAATGTACTACATGTAGAAGATAAACCAACTCAGTGTAATCCCCCCCCCCCCCCCACACACACACACAACTTAAAAAATAAGTACGATTAAAAAAAACCTATAATATACTTGTACATGTATCACTATTTACAAGTTGTACGTATATATTAAACCTTGATATTTTTATGTATATATAACTTCATGTTTTACACATGCTCTGAAGAGCAGAGGAAATTCTGGTCGATCATTCAATCTACAGTAAATATGCCGTGATTTTTGTCAGTTGATCGAATTACAGAATTTTAAAAAAGAAACTTATATAATAATAAAATACTTTTAGGGGTTGCCTTTAAATTCTTGAACAATACATTTACATCCACGAAATGATTCCGATACGATGTTTGACTCACATCTGCAGTGCCAACATGATACTAGAGATGTGGTTCTGAAGTATAAAGACATGTATTCATAATAATGTTTTAATTTTTTTCAAAATTTGAAATAATATTTAAAAATGCAACTAGCAGTTATACGGTTACATGGAAGTGTGAAAACAAATTATTTGTCTTTGTTTCTTCATGTGTAAAGTCCAGCGGGTCTAGGAGATAACTGATAACTGAAGCAAGACAAAGTGCCCTAATGAGGAGATAATTAAGGACCCTCTATACACTAGAGGAAAATATTTTTTGGACATTGAGAAAATTATAGTGTGTAAAGGTGTAAGTGTTGAGCTTATCTATCACATTTTCAGCATAGGGTGCCTTGCATTTACCCCCAGGGAAAATGTTCAAAGACAATGAAGTACTGATGAACATAAATCACTGTTGTTTACTTAAGTGGGCAAAATATCTGCAAATGAAGTATTCTATCTATTCACCTTGGCTTATTAAAGTGTTATGAATGCTTGATTTGATCACAAATTAAGTAATAAATTGTACATTTCAATTTATTTTATTCTTGATCAAAGGGCAGATCACTCTATTTCCATAAAAAATACCACAAAATCAGAACTCTCTAGTGTGCAGTGTATAGAGAACTCTTAAGTGCTCTGCCTTAAAAATTGAAAGACAGTAGATTTGTTTGATTAAAGTCTCAGTGAGAGAGAATTAGTGTTCTGAATATCTGATTATCACAGATCTTACTGTGTCGCAAAATTTTTACTGTGTCGCAGGTATAAAATTTGAATTGTTACTGTGTCGGGCCCGACACAGTAAAACAGCTCATGGAGAACCCTGATTTATGAATTGTCTTCAATTTAGTTTATTTCTTGAATATTGCTTTTTTGAAACACAATGTATTAGGCCGCTTAGTGGGGACTGAGTGCTGGAAAATACATATTTGTGAATAAGCATTAGATTTTCCAAACTTGAGAGAGAGCTTGATTAGTAATGTAATTATGTTCACATAACCCCAGCAATCTGAGGACATGCTGTCTTTGGGACTTCTTATGCATGAAAAATGTATGTTTAACATTCTAATTGAGGTATTCAAATCATTATTTCAGGTCTTTAACAAGAAGAGTAAAGGGGAATATGACAAAAAGCCTGGGTATGGGAGGGTGAAAAACAAAACCCCAAACACATCTGAGGAGAGTTCTGTAGTGGAGGAGGCATCATTAAGTGATCTGAAGGAGAGCAGTGCTAAACTGTCAGAGCTGGAGAATCTATTAGCTAAAGCAGATGATAAAAATATAAGTAAGAAAGCAACTCATTTTATGTGAATAAATTTGCACTTGATGTCTGCAGTAAAACAAAGAACATACACAAAAAATCTTATATATATATGTAAATGTACAAATTTCTATTTTTAGGTCACCTAAGTCACTCAGGTGACCTATTGCTATCCGTTCTTGTCCGTCGGCTTGCGTTGTGTGGTAACATTTGAACATTTTTAGCTTCTTCTCTGAAATCGCTTAACCAATTTCAACCAAATTTGGCATATAGCATCTATGGGTGAAGGGGAACAAAAATTATGAATTTCATGGTCCCTGCCCCCCTGGGGCCTGAGGGGTGGGGCTAAAAGCACCAAAAATAATGCAATCTTTAAAAATCTTCTTCTTTACTCCTGGACATCAAGCAGTCAAACTGTTGGCATCATTGTATTAAGCATTGAACCCTCTACCAAAATTTTGAAATTCATGGCCCCAGGGTCAGGGGTTCTGGCCCCAGGGTGGGGCTATATAGATCATATAGTAAAAGTGCATTATTTCTTTGAAAATCTTCTTCTCTGCTCCTGGGTATTAAATAAAGTAACTAAGTACATAGTTATGAAGAGCAAGAGTGCCTCTTCCAAAATTGTGAATTTCCTGGCCCCAGGGTCAGGGGTTCTTGGTGTTAGGGCGAGGCTCTATTGATTATATAGTGAAAATGCATTAATTGTTTGAAAATCTTCATCTCTGCTCCTGGGTATTAAATAAAGTAACTAAGTACATAATTATGATGAGCAAGAGTGCCTCTTCCAAAATTGCGAAATTCATGGCCCCAGGGTCAGGGGTTCTGGTGTTAAGGCGGGGCTCTATTGATTATATAGTGAATATGCATTAATTGTTTGAAAATCTTCTTCTCTGCTCCTGGGTATTAAATAGAGTAACTAGGTATATAGTTATGATGAGCAAGAGTGCCTCTTCCAAAATTGTGAATTTCCTGGCCCCAGGGTCAGGGGTTCTTGGTGTTAGGGCGAGGCTCTATTGATTATATAGTGAAAATGCATTAATTCTTTGAAAATCTTCATCTCTGCTCCTGGGTATTAAATAAAGTAACTAATAGTAAGTACATAGTTATGAAGAGCAAGAGTGCCTCTTCCAAAATTGTGAAATTCATGGCCCCAGGGTCAGGGGTTCAGGTGTTAGGGCGGGGCTCTATTGATTTATATAGTGAAAATGCATTAATTGTTTGAAAATCTTCTTCTCTGCTCCTGGGTATTAAATAAATTAACTAAGTACATAGTTATGAAGAGCAAGAGTGCCTCTTCCAAAATTGTGAAATTCATGGCCCCAGGGTCAGGGGTTCTGGTGTTAGGTCGGGGCTCTATTGATTATATAGTGCATTAATTGTTTGAAAATCTTCTTCTCTGCTCCTGGGTATTAAATAAAGTAACTAAGTACATAGTTATGATGAGCAAGAGTGCCTCTTCCAAAATTGTGAAATTCATGGCCCCAGGGTCAGGGGTTCAGGTGTTAGGGCGGGGCTGTATTGACTATATAGTGAAAATGCATTAATTCTTTGAAAATCTTCTTCTCTGCTCCTGGATATGAAATAAACTAACTAAGAATATAGTTATGATGAGTGAGAGTGCCTCTTCCAAAATTTTGAATTTTATGGCCCCAGGGTCAGGGGTTCTGGTGTTAAGGCGGGGCTCACTTTATTATATAGTAAAATTGCCTTAATTCTTTGAAAATCTTCATCTCTGCTCCTGGGTATTAAATAAAGTAACTAAGTACATAATTATGATGAGCAAGAGTGCCTCTTCCAAAATTGCGAAATTCATGGCCCCAGGGTCAGAGGTTCTGGTGTTAAGGTGGGGCTCTATTGATTATATAGTGAATATGCATTAATTGTTTGAAAATCTTCTTCTCTGCTCCTGGGTATTAAATAAAGTAACTAGGTATATAGTTATGATGAGCAAGAGTGCCTCTTCCAAAATTGTGAATTTCCTGGCCCCAGGGTCAGGGGTTCTTGGTGTTAGGGCGAGGCTCTATTGATTATATAGTGAAAATGCATTAATTGTTTGAAAATCTTCATCTCTGCTCCTGGGTATTAAATAAAGTAACTAAGTACATAATTATGATGAGCAAGAGTGCCTCTTCCAAAATTGCGAAATTCATGGCCCCAGGGTCAGGGGTTCTGGTGTTAAGGCGGGGCTCTATTGATTATATAGTGAATATGCATTAATTGTTTGAAAATCTTCTTCTCTGCTCCTGGGTATTAAATAAAGTAACTAGGTATATAGTTATGATGAGCAAGAGTGCCTCTTCCAAAATTGTGAATTTCCTGGCCCCAGGGTCAGGGGTTCTTGGTGTTAGGGCGAGGCTCTATTGATTATATAGTGAAAATGCATTAATTCTTTGAAAATCTTCTTCTCTGCTCCTGGGTATTAAATAAAGTAACTAATAGTAAGTACATAGTTATGAAGAGCAAGAGTGCCTCTTCCAAAATTGTGAAATTCATGGCCCCAGGGTCAGGGGTTCAGGTGTTAGGGCAGGGCTCTATTGATTTATATAGTGAAAATGCATTAATTGTTTGAAAATCTTCTTCTCTGCTCCTGGGTATTAAATAAATTAACTAAGTACATAGTTATGAAGAGCAAGAGTGCCTCTTCCAAAATTGTGAAATTCATGGCCCCAGGGTCAGGGGTTCTGGTGTTAGGTCGGGGCTCTATTGATTATATAGTGCATTAATTGTTTGAAAATCTTCTTCTCTGCTCCTGGGTATTAAATAAAGTAACTAAGTACATAGTTATGATGAGCAAGAGTGCCTCTTCCAAAATTGTGAAATTCATGGCCCCAGGGTCAGGGGTTCAGGTGTTAGGGCGGGGCTGTATTGACTATATAGTGAAAATGCATTAATTCTTTGAAAATCTTCTTCTCTGCTCCTGGATATGAAATAAACTAACTAAGAATATAGTTATGATGAGTGAGAGTGCCTCTTCCAAAATTTTGAATTTTATGGCCCCAGGGTCAGGGGTTCTGGTGTTAAGGCGGGGCTCACTTTATTATATAGTAAAATTGCCTTAATTCTTTGAAAATCTTCTTCTCTGCTCCTGGGTATTAAATAAAGTAACTAAGTACATAATTATGATGAGCAAGAGTGCCTCTTCCAAAATTGCGAAATTCATGGCCCCAGGGTCAGGGGTTCTGGTGTTAAGGCGGGGCTCTATTGATTATATAGTGAATATGCATTAATTGTTTGAAAATCTTCTTCTCTGCTCCTGGGTATTAAATAAAGTAACTAGGTATATAGTTATGATGAGCAAGAGTGCCTCTTCCAAAATTGTGAATTTCCTGGCCCCAGGGTCAGGGGTTCTTGGTGTTAGGGCGAGGCTCTATTGATTATATAGTGAAAATGCATTAATTGTTTGAAAATCTTCATCTCTGCTCCTGGGTATTAAATAAAGTAACTAAGTACATAATTATGATGAGCAAGAGTGCCTCTTCCAAAATTGCGAAATTCATGGCCCCAGGGTCAGGGGTTCTGGTGTTAAGGCGGGGCTCTATTGATTATATAGTGAATATGCATTAATTGTTTGAAAATCTTCTTCTCTGCTCCTGGGTATTAAATAAAGTAACTAGGTATATAGTTATGATGAGCAAGAGTGCCTCTTCCAAAATTGTGAATTTCCTGGCCCCAGGGTCAGGGGTTCTTGGTGTTAGGGCGAGGCTCTATTGACTATATAGTGAAAATGCATTAATTCTTTGAAAATCTTCTTCTCTGCTCCTGGATATTAAATAAACTAACTTGAAGAACATAGTTATGATGAGCATGGCTGCCTTTTCAGAAATTGTGAATTTTATGGCTCCTGGGTCAGGGGTTCAAGTGTTAGGGCGGGGCTCACTTGATTATATAGTAAAATTGCATTAATTCTTTGAAAATCTTCTTCTGTGCTCCTGGATATTGAATAAACTAAGTACATAGTGACGATGAGTTATGATGAGCATGGTTGCCTCTTCCAAAATTATGAACTTCATGGCCCCTGGGTCAAGGGTTCTGATGTTAGGGCGGGGCTCTATTGATTATATACTGAAAATGCATAAATTCTTTCAAAATCTTCTTCTCTGCTCCTTGGTATTATTCAAACAAAGGAAGTGCATGGTTATGATAAGGAAGAATTTCACTTCAAAATTGTGAATTCATGGTACCTGGGTCAGGGGTTAGGTGAAGAGGGGGGGGGGGGGAGGGGGGACTCTATTGATTATATATTGAAAATGCATAATTTCTTTCAAAATAATTTTTTTTTCTACTACTGGTTATAAAGCAAAGAAACAAGTGTATAGTTATGATGAGCAAGGGTGCTTCTTCCAGAATTGTGAGTTCATGGTCCCTGGGTCAGATGTTCTGGTGTAAGGATGGGGCTTTATTTATTTAATAATATAGTGAAAATTCATTTCTTTGAAAATCTTCTATGCTTCTGGGCAAACAGAGTAGAAGTTTTAATATGCAAAGGTATTTTTACCAGAATTTTGAATACCTGGACCATTTAGTCAAGTGTTCTGGTCCTGCCCAGTGCTCTATTAACTTGTATTCTTCTGAGCAAAGTTATACCCCTTTACCATTCACCTTTGATAATTAATCACTGTAAACAATGTATTTGAAAGGTTAATAGAATACGAGAATTATGCAAGAATATTTATTGTAAAATAAAAAAAAAATTACTTTCACAGTTTTAATGATCAGGTAGACTTGGAAATAATAAATGAATAAAATTGAGACAAAAATAACTTATCTTTTTAAATGTTCTTCAAAGGCCAAGAGAGGCCAATGTGAGAGGTTACAATATGGGGTTAAAAAATAGACATTTTGTTAAGTAGTCTGCATGGTAATAGTGATAAATGGGGGACAGATAGATACTAGACCAATTATTTTGTTGATGCTAATCATACTGTATTTCTTGCTTTTGGGTGACTGTTAAGGCCCTTGAGCCTCTTGTGTTTCTCATCTCAAGTTGATTTGTCTCGACTTGATTTTGATATACAGTTTAACTTTGTTATCTCAATCACGAATATATCGAATACCAAGGGTATGTCGAAGCCGCATGGAAGTTCCAACTACTCTATATCATGTGTATTTATTTTAACCTTGTTATCTCTTATCCTTGGATATCTCGGAGTTTTTTCTCGATCCCATCGAGATCCTAATAACAAAGTTTGACTGTACATGTATATATTGTACAATACTCTTTGAAAAGATCCAACATCAATTTTACGTAATCAAGAAGCATTTTCCTTAGTAATTTTATGGTGGTCCTGAAGCAAGCTCTTATTGTGGACCCTTCTGTATTGATTATATTAGGTGCAGATGAAATGAGAGCTCTTCAAACAAGACTAGAAGAAACAGAGAAACAGATGGCCAGGATTCTGAAAGCCATGCAGACAGTGTCCTCAAAAGTGACAGATGTCATTGAATCCAAAGAAGTAAGTAGTACATATATATTATGTAAATTAGATAAATATAAAGGAACAAGTGCAGTAAATGTACCATGGCTCAAGAAGAGTGATACTGGATGTAAAATTGAATGATAGTAGTATTCATATAAAAGAGAGATATTTATAAACGTGTACCTGTATACTGACGTATATTTATTAATGATCTATATGTACCCCCCTCCCCCAGTACTTTTATAAGGAAATTTACAAAAAACTTTTAGCTTATGTTGTGATATATAGCATGTGAATGTATCATTGCAAGATTATTTTTATGTACCACCATGACTCACTTATGACCTTGACCTTTGACCTCAGAGATAATAGTCAAATTACTATTTTTTGAGCAAGGAAGCTTGTACAGACTGAATTTATTTATTTTTTGACCTACTCTTATGATAATGGATATGTAGATTTACCAATAAAAGATAAATTGTCATGATCCACACATAATCTTGACCTTTAAAATTGATGTCAAAGTACAAACATGTAGTTGTATTTTAGCAAGTCTCTCTGGAATAAACTTTTAGTGATCAGTTGTGGCCAATCATTAATTGATCAAGTCAGAGGCACCTTACAAATCGGTGTAACTACAGAATATTTTGTTTGATATGGATTTGCAACTGTTGTAAATTTTTCATGACATTTTTCATAGCAATCACTTCGAGATGCAAAACATTTGTACTGTCAGATGTTTTCTCTATGTGCACAAGAATTTTGTTCACTTCTGAAACAGAAGTACACCCTTTCCTTTTGGGACAAATTTTAGAATGTACTTCAAATATGCAGGTAGTTTGGGGGGAAGTTAATTCATGAGGTTATTGTTACCGTTCTGAAGATTCCGTGTCATTTCTCTTACTTTTCAAAAAAAGATTTTGGAGAAGGAGTTAACACATCTGAGTAGTAAGTTTTCAGATCAATTCTTATAACAGGAATACTTGTTTATCTTTTAGTCCAGGATTATTCTAAGTGGAATGTGAATGTATTGTCTTTTTATTTTTGTCAAGACTTTCAGTCAAAACGAACCTATGACATTGACCTTTGTTATCACTCAGGCCTCAACATTAAAATTTGTCTGTCTGTGTCCAGTTTATTTTGTGATCGGATAAGTCAATCTCCAGATTCACTTGTCTGATCAGACAAGTTTCCATAAGGGAATATTGTGAACATGAGAAGTAATCCCCACTGAATTCATTAAAGACTGATTTTTTCCAAAATCACAAACTTCAAATCAGACATGGATTTGGTTAATGGAAGAAGACAATCAAGACGGTTACAGACAGTGCTACTGTATCTTACGTCAAAAATGTTTTAATTTTCACATTAAACAAATCATTACACTCAATATTTTTTTGAACTACTTCATTCTTGAAAATAATGTTCTACTAATTCCTTAATATCTGCTCAGAGATGGACAAGTATTCTATAAATTTGGATAAGTAAGTTTTGTTGGCAATTTGTCCAATGGGCAAGCATGTATGCGTTAATGTTGAGCCCTGTAAGTGTCCTACAAAAATTTTTTTGGGCCAGATTTTTTTTATCTTTCAGTCTAGTTTTAATATATTGAGGTTGTTGCTTAAAAAATGTCTTGACCCATAATGCCCCTTGGACTTTGAATTAATTGGAAGTGGAGACATATTTCTTTGTGTTCTAAAACAACAATTCTAATTTTCCATCGTTTGGCAGGAAAATGTAGATTCTGACGATAAAGTAAATAGTGACTCTGAGGAACGGTCCTCACAGCAAGGAGAAGAGATTGAGGAGGAATCTGAACACGCTGAGGACCAAAAAGAAAGTAAGACTCCAAAGGAGAAGGACAAAGAGGAAGAAGTGATTCTTTTGGATGGACAGAAGGACAAGGATTCTGAAGAGGAATCGGGGGTTCGCCAGAGAAAAGTCCAAGTTGAAGAGAAGGATAATTGAGGTTTTTTGGGGGTGTAAATTTGGTGATGTGCAATTTTTTTTTTTTACAGATAGTCTATGTTTTGAATAATCAATCAATACAATTAGAATTTTAGAATGCTTATGTCTGTCAGATCTCCTTGAAGATGATTTTGAAATTTAACATTAACAACTAACCAATATTTTAATTCTTGCTTAACACACTGTAAGTACAAATTAAGGCCAAGTCTTAATACATGTATGCCGTAGGAAGTTTTAGAAACATCTCTCTTTTTTAAATTTTTTTTAATTATATTTGATTAAGATAAATAGGTGATTGGTGTATGGCTTGTCACTAATACAAATATTGATGCTCAAGATTTCTCAAGTATTATGCACCAAGAATTGTTTGATTTTGCAGTGTGTTTGCACATTTCAAGTTTTTATAACTACCAAAAATGTTATGCTTTGTTACGGTTAATAAAATTTTTGTGATGGTCTCATGTTTTGTATTTGTTGGACTCAAAAAATATTAAAATTGTTCTTTAAATCTTCAAATGAGAAAAGTTTACATTAAAAAAAAAATCAATTGTGTGGTTTAAAACCAATAAATTATTGTGATACAAATGGGCTTTGCTGATCTTTCATCTGATTGCATTGCCCATTGATATATTTTAAATTTGAAATACCATGCATTATGTGTTTGTGTTCATAGCAATGATTATTGATTTTTTTTTGTATTTGATATTGGAAAAAATACAACAATGTATAATTTTCCTTGAATAGAATCTCAACGTGACCAAATAGATTTTTTTAATATAACAATTATTACTGCACCATACCTCTAGCTAAGTTTGTTCTTCCTCTGAAATCACATTTGTCTAACTTGTGAAATCAACAACTGCTTTATATACAAGGTACATCATTAATCTCAATTTTATTTATCATGTACATGTATTTCAATGTTAATTGAGTACAAGGATTGATCAGTTTTTCACATTAAGTCTTTGGTGTTATTGAATGATTTGTTAATGATTACAGTCAGTATATTCAGTATCATTAAAGCTCTACTGACATCATAAAATAGCCGCGAATGTAAACAAACAACCGCCATACTTCATCAATAGACGCCATATTAGGTGGTGTTCTATTGTTATTTGCTAACTCTGTATACACCTTATTCTTCGTCACGCGTCAATGCATTTCTCCAGTGACCAAGTACATTGTGTATCTCGAAGTGCCGGTGACTGTTTGTAGCCGTTACAGACCTATCGCGAATTTTGCAAGAGATACAGTTGCAACAAGACCAGAACACATCGTTATGGCATCCAATGTAAGAGAATTTCAGTAAATATATGCACAAAACACACAAGCACAACAAATATGAATGCTCACTTCCAAACGTGACCGACACCGCATGGTCACGCATGCAAACTCTAGGTCAATGAAACGTATGTTTACGGTCAAGCGTTTCAAAGCATTGACTGGGGAGCAGTAATTATTTGTAAAATGAAAGAAAAGTACAATATTTGCATGAAAAGTGTACTTGTTTATTAATTTCACAAGGAAACAAAGTATAGTTCCCCAAATTAAAAAAAAAAACATTTACCTAAATTGCATATGCGCAGTTTAAAACATAATGGGAGTTGGGGGGTATAGGGGTATATATTCTCAATGCTGGCTAAAAATGCAGTCATTTTTATAAAATTGATTTTACAGAGGTCAATTTTTTTTTCAATTAACAATTTAATTCTGAAAGAATACCAGTACCATTCCTTCATTTATTTCTATACTTGAATGTGTAGTTGTGTGCCAAGAACCAAAAAAAAAAAAAAAAAAATAGGTAATGACATTTCCTAATTTTTTTATCATACATATGCCACATGCATCTTAGAAGTTTTGAGGATTGTTTTACATATGAAAAATTGCCTTTTTCAATGGAAAAGTAACTAGTATTAATTGTAACGGGGACCGTTACAGATGTTCCCCAAACGCTCCCCAACACCCTCTTGGTGTCTTATTTCCTGTAAGCTTCATTAAATAAGGCAATGAAGTATATTGATCGTTTTTTGCATTTCACGCGCGCGCACGTGCATGCATGTGCAGGATGACCATGTCATCTCATCTATACTATTAATGCATCTTTATATTCTCAGTATCAAAACATTTCGTCAAAAAATAAATAAGTTCCGGCTATATCAAGTATATTGGTCATCTTAGCATTGCATGCATGCGCACCTGCATGCATGTTCCTAATGACCATGCCATTTTGTCTACACTTATAATTTGTCTGTTTATTCTTAGTATCAAAGCTTTTCATAAAAAAATATAAAAGTTATGGCTATATTAAGTATATTGGTCATTTAACACATTGCACGCGCGCGCATGTGCATTCATGAGCATGATGTCCACATCATCTTGTCTACACTTTTAATATATCTGTATATTCTTAATATAAAAACTTTTCATAAAAAAATATAAAAATTACAGCTATATTAAGTATATTGGTCATTTAACACATTGCACGCGCGCGCACGTGCATGCATATGCATGCATGCATGTGCATGATGACCATGTCATCTTGTCTACACTTTTAATATATATAAATATTTTGAGTATCAAAGCATTTCATCAAAAAGTATAAAAGTTACGAATATATCAAGTATATTTGTCATTTTACGCTTTGCGCGTGCGCACACGTGCATGCATGTGCATGTTGACCATGTCATCTTGTTTACACTTTTAATATATCCTTATATTTTGAGTATCAAAGCATTTCATCAAAATATATAAAAGTTACAGCTATATCAAGTATATTAGTCATTTTACGCATTGCACGCGCACGCACGTGCATGCACGTGCGCGCAAAATGACCTTGATTCCGCAAATCTACATAACATGCCTATTAACCCTAAAAAGGTTTCACCTCAATCGGATGAGTAGTTGACGAGATCACTCGCGGACAAAAAAGTACCCAGGAAGAAGAAGAAGAAGAAAAATAATAATAATAACTAGAAACTCATTGCGAGCAATGAGAGGTCTTCCGTCCGATTCTGAAAATAAAAACGAAAATTCAAGCTGCAAAAGTGATAAAAGAAATTCAGACACTCTAGAGATTTAACTCTGGTCGTCAGCGTGAAAATCCAACTTGCTAACCATTAACCATTCACTTTTTTGCATCACTTCCTGTCACGACCGGAAGTAACGGCGACACACGATTTTCATACGATGCAAATAAACTAATGACGGACTATCAGTCCTGAAAGTTTCAGACTTCAGTCGTTTATTGTTGCCGAGCAATTGTGAGAACAAATTCTAATTTTGAGGACAGGAAAACACGCGACCGGAAGTGAATTTTATAAAAAATCTCTAACGTGTCTCTAGACATTGTAGTATCTACGACATGTATTAAAACATTTCAATTCTTTTTCTATAAGCGATATTTATGAGAAAGATAAATATCGAAATATCGTATTTTATCTCCTAAAACCGGAAGTTGACGTTTTTGTTCCCGGAGGAGTCTAACATATTGCAAAACAGCGAAAGAGATGCAAGAAGGTGATGCAAGTTTTAATTTAAACAAGAAAAGTTGAATTTTTTGATTTTTTTTTATCACTTCCTGTGACGACCGGAAGTGACGGCTGACAGTTTAACCCAAATGATTTTGCCTACTCTTCAAGGACTATTACTCATATAAGTTTGTTGTCTTAATCTCTTACCGTTTCTGAGATCTCGCTCAGATATTTTCTCACTTTGAAGACAGAAAAAACACGCGACCGGAAATGAATTTTGCAAAGGTATTTGACGTTACTCTAGACATTTGCAATCTAAATGACATATCTAAAAATCATTTCAAATACTTTACCTATAAAAGATATTTATGGGAAAGTAAAATACTCAAATTATGGAGTTTTTCTCTTATAACCGGAAGTTGTCGTTTTTGTTTCCGGTAGGACCAACATATTTCGAAACTGCAAAAGAATTGCAATAATGTGATGCAAGATTTGATTAAAAAAAGAAAAGTTGAAAATTTCGATTTTTTTGAACACTTCCGGTGACGACCGGAAGTACTGACGGCAAAAACCAAGGTAATTTCGAACATCTAGAAGTCATGGTCTATCCTCTCTAACAAGTCTCCAGTTCATATCTTTAGCCGTTTCTTAGATCCTTCGAGGACAAAATTTCATTTTAAAATCAGGAAATTGTCCATAACTTGGCACTGGAACCGAATTTACCAAAAAACGGAATTTTATATAAACTTCATATAAAGACCTTTTATCCCTGAAAATTTCAAAGAAATTCATTGAACAGTTTTCGAGAAATCGCGTGCACAAAATTTTGTCTAAAAAAAAAAGAATAATAATAATAATAAGAAACAATAGAATCACTATAAGGTCTTCCGTGGAGACGGAAGACCTTAATAAGAAACAGAGTAAAAACAATATGTTCCCCAACTTCGTTTGGGGAACATAATTACTTGCACACATTCAGTAGGTAGTTTGGCAAACTTCTTGTGCAATTAACCCTGCTGTTCAAGATCTTTGATCAGTTGATAGGAACTTTTCCTGAACTTTAGAATATAGTTTTATTCCAGTAATTAAAAAACAAATAAAAAAAAAAAAAAACAGCAAATCTTTTCTCTGTAGCTTTCTTACAGAAGTAAAAAAGTATCAAAGAAACAAACAATGTGCCCAGTTTGGCAATGAAAAAAATTCTCAGCCATAAATGATGCTCACAATATTTCAAGACTATTTATTTTCATCTATAAATGAACAGTTCCCCAGAAATTGTAAAGATCATTAAAATGTTAGGTAATTGACAATAAATTGAAAACTCTTCACTTAAATAAACAAATTGTGATACTGTAAGTTCATAAAAATTATTCACAATTTAATTCTGAAAGTTTAATACAGAAACAAAATGAAATTTTCATGCACATCTGTTTACAAATTGATTTCATATACATATACATATATATATATATATATAATTCTAGACCACTGTATTTGAAAAAATAAAATTTTTCCTATGTTACCTAAATTTAAACAAGGAAATATATATATTTCAATGGTTTTGACAAATTGAAAGTTATTTTAAAAATGTATTAATAATGAAAATAATAAGTACTATATATAAATTTTAAAAGTCAAATGAACCTATGAAAAATAAGTACACTGTACATGTACATGTATTATAAAAATTTACATTTAGCAGTGCTGTCCCTGTGAAAACAGAGGCAAATGTAAAAGCTGCCCATGCAAGAGAAGAGGTTGTACCAATTGCCGAAATCCCTGCTGTCAATTCAAAGAAAACACAAGTACGCAGGAAGTAAGTATGATGGATTGTTATCCTACACATAGGAGTGTTGGTTATCAGTTAATGTTATGATGAGTGTTGGCTATCTGTTAATGTTATGATGTTCACCCTTCCTCTATGATAAGGTCCTCCTAAATCAGAATTGGTATACATGTATTTCGTAGATCTCACAATAACTATTACTGTTGTAGTCTGCTCGTTACCATCCTTATGCTAGTCAGAGCACACGCAATGTCAGCAGGGGACATCTTCCTAGCAGAAATCATTTGCTGGAGGCAGCAGCAAGTCCTGAAAACAGAGAGGACAGTCAGTTGGTTTCACATTGCAAGTATGTACCAAAAATAAGTTATGCTTATCAAATGTTTAATACTTCTTGAAATTTTTTTAAAAGGGTTAAAGAATCATAAATTATATTTTACAATGAAATTATTTTCATCTAAATATATTAACCAAATGAACATATATCTCTTATGTTTCATTTTTCTCACTCTAAATTCTTTTATTACTATACTTGTAGGATATTGTGACACAAATGGATGAAGATGAAATGCGCCAAGTTTTGAAAAGAGCTATAGAGGCAGAACCAGATTTCATGAGATCTTACATCCAAGGTTCATTACAGTATGAAAACTCCAGTTCAGAAATTGCATGGTGTTTATGTGGAGGATGCAAAGTATTTGAGGATCCTCGCATGAACCTATGCTGTTGTCAATCTCCATGCATTACCACAAAACCAGAGTTTAGAAATCTGTGTTTGCGGCATGATGTGCTAGAGATTGCCAACATTCTGAATTGGAGTTTTCATACTAATCTTGAACCTTCGTTTGCCCCCTCTACCTTCCGGAACCAGGCATATCGTAATTTTGTTTTGTGGCAGCATGGTCCTCTTGGAGCAGGAAGGAGAGTTCCAGTGCCATCTTGTGTGACTGTGGCAGTTAGGAGGAGGTTTCCCCAACTAGATGGAGCGTACAGAGGCTATCATTCAGCTAATTCAGACTCTGAATAAAATCACTAGTTTTTAAAAACTTACCACACTTTTTTCTGCTTTTCATTTCTGAAAGTAAAAGCCTTGATCCAGGATTTTCTATGCCTGATAAATTGGCAGAGATGCTGTCAAGGTCTTTGGACTGCTTACTCCTTGTGTAACCTGCACAAGGACTCCCATATATTTCCTTCATGCATGTTACAATAAGTTCTAAAATTAAATTTAGAACATTACCTTTAATAACTTCATGAACAAGAAATTTTCATCAAATAAAGTAATAGCAGTACATGTAATCAGGAAAATTGAATGTAAAAAAAATCATATGAATTTACACTCTTATCCTAAAACAAAAAATTGTTATGTGCATGTATATACATGTACAATAATTTTGTTATAGTTTCAAAACATTCTAAAGGGAAATTGAAACAACTCAAAATAATTAAAATGTATATTGCATAAAATTTAATACCTGGAATGTATGTGTATTCTTTAATTGTCTACTTTTCATAGGCAACCCACTGCTTGGTTTTCCGTGAAAAGTGGGAATACACATGTGGTAAACCACTCTCTGTTACTGCTGGTAACCTATGAAGATGGTTGTTGTGATCCATAACAGCTAACATGTTTCTAATGCTGTAAGACACTCTTTTAGGAACATAGTGCAGGAGAGTATGGCTAAAAAAGTTCTCTATAGCCCAAGTTTGGCGACAGTTGACATAAAATGACATGCTTCCACACCATTCTCTGTTTGTAACAATTTTCCAAAAAAAGATTAACATACTACTTAAAGCTCAATCAAGAATGCAATAATATGTTTAGACTTTAGAGATATAAAGAGTTATGCATAGAAAACTTCCCAAAACACACCTTAGTTCCTGAAATCCTGATGAATTCCTTCCGAGCCATTTTTCATTTGAACATGAGTTTGTAGGGTGATGGCATCTACATTAATGGAAGCGTAATAAAATTTCTTTATGTCTATTCATACAACTATCTAATTCATATACATTGAGTTGAATGTGTGAAAGGTCATATGTGTTTGTGATAGATTTGTGAGGCTTCGAGTTGTATGAATGGTGGATATTTTATAGTGAGGAGTGTGTGAGTAGTTTTACCAGTTTGGTATCAGGTGCCCATGCTTGGCATCAAATGCACTAACTAGCTCACTCCCAATTATCCAAGTGGTCAACTAATTTTGCCAAGAACTCTATATACAAATACTGTGACAGAGTATATCATATCATTTTATGATCTGCTTAATGGAAGTGATGCACAATTTAATATTTAAAGGATTTTCCAATTACCTTCCTCCAGGCCAAAAGTGTTGGTTGGTGACATGATGGAGAATGCCAAACCACCTTTTCACTAATTTTTCAACTTTCCCTTTTGAAGTGCTACAGCAGTACCAAAAATGATTCACTACAGGTCGAATCCAAGGCAAAAGATCTTTATTTGCTGCCTTTTTAGCAATTTCTCCCAACATAAAGGCTAGTTTCTTGGCTTTGTGCCAGATGTCTAAACTGTGCTGAAGATGTTTATATGGATCTGTACCTGTCAAATATGCAATATTGGTTTACATATACTTTTAATATTTATTATTAATTATTTATGTTTATCAAGATTTCTTTTAATTTAAATACTTTGATTGTAAAATGTCTAGCCTTGTAGGGTGTATGTAAATACAGTAAAACTTGTCTAACCTGGCCGCCACTGGTTCCAAAGAAACTGGCCATATAAGAATATATTCCGGATTAGACAATTAGTGAAGGGGACTTGATGTTTAAATCATTTTAGACAAAATTTTAGAATACACATCCAGATTAGACAAGTTTTATTGTACCAGTAATATGATAAAGGTTTACAGTTACATATTTCATTGATTTATTTTATGCTTTTATAAGTAATACTTTTAAATTACTGAAAATGCACTTACGCATTAAAGAAATAATATTTCTACTCGCATCTGAAATGATTTCCCACACTACATATGGTGAAGCATTAACAATATAATTGAGACCCCTCTCAATTAGAAGCCTCTCCATTTTGGGACTGTGCCGTCCAACCTCACGAGAATCCCCAATTTCCATATGTACAATGTTTCTGGAATGTATGTCCATATAAACTGCTGTAGACTTGCTGGCACAGAAACCTTCAAAATTTTCTTCATTGTTAGTGTGGTAAAAATTTACTCAATAAGAAATGTGGTGAAAGTATATCAATCAACATACTCAAATTAAAAAAAAAGAACAAGAAGGCAAGAAGATTACAAGTTTACATTCAAAAGACAATATATATTGCTTTGCAACTTGTGCAATATATTCATTAAACTTTTTTTTACAAGCACCACATAAGCATTAAAAGATACTATACCTGGGGTGTCATATCTTACATCCACAGCCAGGCTAAGAGGTATCTCTCTCAGATTTTCTGCAACTTTTTCCATGTGCTTTTTAAAAACTTTCTGCACAGCAACCTAATTCGCAAAACTACACTGTAGTGTAATAGCATATAAAATTTATGAAAGAACTGTATTTTACTATGTCCTTGATTTCAATTCATATCCCTGCATTGACTTTACATGAAACTTAAAAATTCTATTCTTTGCTTTTGCATAAAATTTTTACCAAATATAATATGCCCAATATGAAGACAAAATTTTATCAAAAATTAATGCAGAAAATATTACAATAAATGAAATTTTTTTAAATGTAGAGAAAATCCATTCAAGCATTACTGGTAATACATACTCTGTACTGAAGTTGCATTCTGTAGAATTGTCTTGCTGATCCTATTGCAAGATTAATAAATTTGGCACCCATGGTAAACTGATCCCATGATGCCCCAGAAAGAAGAACCATGAGTTGCAGCAGAATTGCAGCAGCACTTCTCCCTCCATAAAATGGTGTAGAAATCCATTTTCCTACATGACCATTCTGACATACAAATGAAGTGGAAAATGTGAAATTCTGTTAAATATTACATGAAAAAGTGTATACTTATATATATTTCTTATATTCAATTGATGCTTCTCTCTTTGTAAAATTTCCTTTTTCAAAGTTTCCCATAAACATCACTGATACATTTTTTTTCATTCTGTCTCCTTATAATATTGAAGGCTTATAATGTAGATTGTCATTTTTTCTTAACAAATCCTTTATTTAAATCATGAATTTCACTACCTGTTTATCATTTCTTTAAAGTATTTTACTTCATTATATCAATGCAATTAATAAAAAAAAATATAAATATGCTAATGTAAAGTAGGATTGAAGTTAGCCTCAATACCTCTTAGTCTAAATGTTCATTTCATTACCCTGGTAAACTTAAGAAATGAGCTTCAAACTGGTGTGCAATACTTACTCTGCAGGTAAATTTATAATTTACTCCTGCAGCTATTTTCTCTGCTTCAACAACAGAAGAGGGGAGTATTGGTCCAACACACTCTTTGCAAGTGCTCCTTTTAATAAGGTCCAATATTTCCCTCTCTCCAACAATAAATCTTCTATCTGAAAGGATATCCACCTCCTCCTTGTCATATTCATCAGTATTCCTTGAATGAAAATTTAAAATACAATTTTTTAATAAGAGAAAATAATCAAATTTAAGATTTTAATCTTTTATGTTACATGCTACAAGCAATCTGTGATTCAAAACAAACAAACAAACAAAAAACACTGCAATTTTACAAGAATATTTTTTTACATTAGGGGGAACAAATCCCTGCATCCAGTTCCTAAGAATTTGAGACATCTTAATCATGTCAAAAGACAGTAAAATTGTAAAATTATACCACTGTGTAGTAAATTGTATAGATTACATAATGTAGTAATTGCATAAATTTAAGGAATCACTGTCTAGTTTGTTGGGTATGCCAGGGCATCAACAATAGTTGGAAACGTCGAATATAATTTGCATAAAATGTTGTCTAATAGATTTAAATTACACGAGGCCTCCCATGTCAATTTCAATAGTTCCTGCCCACTGACGTCAGACACAAAGACAGGCGCACAAGATTTACATGCATATTAGGCCTTCTTAGCTCCTGACCTTTTGCTTGGCGAAATTTACATTCCGGTAGAATTATCAAGAAATCAAGTCACCTAACTTTCAAAGAGTTATCACAGAAAAAACAAATAGAAATGGAAATACAATCATGCATGTAAATGTAAGTGACATTTTATATCAATGATTTTTACTGTGGGGTAAAAAATGAATGTTACATATTTTTTTCCTATCTTAGTTTTTCATTTACAGCAGATGCTATTTTTAGTTATAAAAAATCCTAAATTTGTTACTTATTTTGCATTACAGTGTTTGCCTTTCACAAACCTTGATATATCTTTCCACATCCCATATTCATCTTCTTCCTCCTCTTCTTCATCACTTTCACCATTGTCATCATCTTCATCACCAGAAGATCCAAATATCTCTTTCATGATCTCATTTATTTGCTCAGTATCCTGTATGCATGCATGTTTAAAAGACAATAATATTTACTTAGATAAATTATAATGCATGAAAGGCTGGTTTCTTTTTTAAAAAGTCTCTCTTCAACAACACAAAAACAGACAAACAAATCCCATAATTATTTCTTTTTTTCATGAAATGGTAAAATGGATTGGGTTGTGCCACAACTGAATGCATGCGTTACATGTAACACAGCACTAGTAAATATATTATATGAAGGTAGTCAAGTCAGACAATGCATCTATCGCACTTGTATTAAAGAAAATGAATAAGAAACGATAAATGAATATTACTTGCTTGAAGATTAGCAGTGCACAGAAGCTTCAATATATCACTTTTGCATTCTAGATACTACTTACATGCTGTTCTTCCATTTCTTCATCTTCACAATTATTAGCATTGTCCGAAATATCGATGTCCATATTTCTGATACTCTAAAACAATATAAAACGCTTTTATTTTACAATTCGCTAATCCATCGTCACTTTTATTCGTGAACTACAATAATAATTGCTCCCCCGTGTTTACACATGTGCTTTTGGACCTACTTTCATTTT